GACAGGGAAAATGATGTGATTTCAGATGATTCTTATGTCTTCAGTGCAGCACCTGAAGAGATGCCTATGATAGACCCAGATCCGGTGACTCATAATACATGTCTTTTGCTTGGTAGTTCTCTGTCTTGACCGCTCTACTGTTCCTGCAAGATAGTACCCCTCTTGTTGAAGAGGGAAGTTTCCAATGGTAGAATTCCTGTGTACCCTTTCACAGGGTTTATACTTAGCTGCCTCTCAATGTGTGCAGAGATTAGTGAGGCCTATGTGCAGCCTCTATATTAAATTTTCCCTGCCACTTTGACAGATCTTATCGATCCTTTTGAAAGCAACCTGCCTGAATCCCCCCCCGTTTTACTAAGATTGTCAGCTCTGTTCAGCTTCCACTGCTGCGTTTCCTGGCATTTTTACATATCTATATGTGAGATCATAAATAAGCCTGTTGTTTTGCTGTGTCTTTTACCCTTCATGGCATGCCAGACTTAGTTTTCTTTCTGGTCTCAGCACAGTCCTTTCTCTCACAGCATTTCTTTTGTCTATCATCTTCTAGCAGTAGTGCCATCTCCTATGGCTCCTTCACTATATGTGGGAACCTTTCCCAGTAACTCCTGGTGTTCTGCAATATTAATTGTCTTGACAGTACTTTACCTTGATATGATGGGCATATTTACTTTGTCTCTGGTTTTAGTGCAAACACTCCACAGAGTTAAAGGAGGCACTGATTAGCAGACACCAGTTCCCTGGTATTCTAATTGGAGGTCTGGCTACTTGGCATAGCCCCACGATATGACATTCCAGACCCTGGCCTTTATGCTTTATTCCTGACAATAACTTTGTCATTGAGGAATGCACTTCTAATCCCTGACAAAGACAACCTGTTTTTATGCCTTCTTCCCTCTACCTGTATTGCTGCACAAGTTGCTCTGCAGACTACACAAGTTTTTTCCCCATGTGGCGCATTGTGTCCATCTTTTCTTTAGCTACATCACACCTCTTTTCACTGCCTTCGTTACCATCGTGCAGATCTGCTTATTCTCACTCCTGCTGACAAATTAATACATTGATCAACTCCTTTCCTGCATTGTAGCAGTAGCCTCTCACGTTTCTGAGTGGCAAGCACCACTCGTGTACCTTGCACCTCTAAATGGAGAGGAGAGTCTCTATAGAAACTGCAGCAAGGTTTGGACCCTGCTTCTTGTGCCGTTGAATGTTTTTTGCAACGGATTTAAAAAACCCCAACCCTCTCTGATCTTTTCCTTGTTGGATTGCTAAGCATGCTACAAAAGACAGGTATAACCCTTGTTTTATTTTTGGCATTTACATGGTGCTTCATTTATGATATGGTTCTAACTTATACCCTCTCCATGCATGAAATCTAAAAAGGTGATGTCCTGCTGGAATCCCCTACCAAGAGTGGTCTCTCACTCCTTATGTAATGCATGGTCAGCATCCTCACACAATCCATCCTTGTGGGTCAATTGACGCTATCACACTGTGTCTGAGTGCACAGCCTTTCAATACCACTTTGTGTGTGATGGCTCTTTTCAAAAGAGTGTTCTTTTTTTTTTCTTTACCACATTCCCACATGTATTTTGGTGGGGACACTTGCACAGAGCTTACGACTCTGGTGAGTTCTGAGTGAAGGTCAATTTGTGCCGCTAAACAACTGTTGATAAAGCAACCCTCGGTGGTCTCCTTCTGAGAGCTTCACACCCATCTCCGTCACTCAGTGATCTTGCTAATCTTCCCATGTGGGACTGCACAGAAGCCACCATGATGAAAACAAGGTTGCACTTACCTGTGAGTGTTGTTCATCGAGTGGTCTTCTGTGCAGACACACATCCCTCCCTCCTGCCCCTCTGTGAACTCTATGGAACTTTGGTTTTCTAAGGGTCTCCGGCAGCGGCATGGAGAGAACTGAGGGAGTAGCACCCCTCCTCCTGCTCATGTGAGCGTTTTGGCGGGGAAGTGCCAGAGGGAGGAGGAGCGCTCCTAGTCTATTAGGAAGCTTGGAAATTTTTTCCGTGGCTGGCCTGCGACTGTGCAGTTCCCATGTGTGCCTGCACAGAAGACCACTCAATGAACAACACTTACAGGTAAGTGCAACCTTGTTTTCTCTCTACGTGGGGCTGCCCTTGATTCTGCTCCGGAAACTGCAGCAGGTGCAGAACGCAGCAGCACGGGCACTGATGTCACTGCCTGTGCGGGCCCACATCCACCCGATGCTGCGCAAACTACACTGGCTGCCTATTGAGTACCGGATCCGTTTCAAGGTGTTGGTGCTTACCTTTAAAGCCCTATACAGCCAGGGGCCCGCATATCTGCTCTGAAGGGCTTTACGATCTGCCAGTCAACATCTTCTCATGGTCCCCGGCCCCAGGGATGCTGGTTCCTCCATTAAAGCCTGTATGGGCCTTTTGTATTGTAGATGTCAGTGAGCAGAAATGTCCGACCAATTCACCTTTGGTTTTCTGTCATCATGAGTCCATTGCTGTTTTGGCCTATTTGTAGGGTCGCCAGCTCTGTTCTGGCAGCACCCAGGAGCTTGGGGTGGGGGGTGGGGGAGCATTGCTGATGTGTGATGTCACTTCTAGATGATCCCATTCACACACACACACACACACACACACACACACACACACACACACTGCTCTAGGGATTGCCCCAGTCTCTGTGGTTGTGACATTGCTGCATCTGTGATGTCCAGCTCCCCCACCTTCTTTTCCTGAAAGAGTGGGGGAGAGCTGGCAGGGATGGGAACCTGCCCTCTAAGGCAGGCAACCTAGTAAGCCTATATTCTGATGACAAAATTATTCAGGATCCAAGTCTCATAGCTAAGTTACAACCAGCTAGGCTGGAGAACTGCAGAAATACTATGTTAATTAAGAGAAATAACTTTGGAACTCCATATGCCTGTTTTAGGTTGCCACAGATGACTCTGATTTCTATACCAACATGTATGCAGCATTCTACCATGATCGTGATGCGTATCGAACAATCTTGCAGGACACAGATGCTGTCAACTGGGCCCAAGCTTTCCGTATCCATGGTAACTGATAACCCCCTTTGAAGACAGAGTTAGGGGACAGGAGCATTGGTATTCTATGTTATTCATCCAGTGTGACGTAGTGGTTAGAGTGTTGGACTATGACATGGGAGTTCCAGGTTCGAGTCCCCACTGCGCCATAGAGGCTTCCTGGGTGACTTTGGGATAGGGTTGCCAGGTCCCCTCGTCTTGCTGGTGGTGGTGGGGAATCTGGGAGGCATTCCAGGAGTGGGGAGGGGCATCCATGACACACTGACATCACCTGGAAGTGATGTCATCATATTGGTGATGCCGGGGTGACGCTCTGGTTTTTGGGCAAAACTTTATGGTAAAAGCAGGGTCAAGCTATAAAGTTGGGCTCAAAAACCAGAGAGTCGTGTGGTGTCCCCAATGCAATGATGACAGTTCTGTGTGACGTCAGTGCAGTGGGGACATCGCACAGGGATGTCACTGTTTGCGGACAGGGTTCCCCCACCGGCCAGCTGCCCAGCGGCAGGTAGGAGCTCTCAAAACTGGGGGATTCCCCACCCGGACCTGGAGAGTGGCAACCCTACTTTGGTCCAGTCACTCTCTCTCAACCTAACCGACCTCACAGAGTTGCAGTGAGGATAAAATAGAGGACAGGAGAACGATGTGAGCTGCTTTGGGTCTCCACTGGGGAGAAAGGTGAGGTATAGCCGAAGTTAAGTATAAAAATAATATCCAACACCTTGCTTTTCAGCATAGACCATACATCATATTCCAGGTATCTACTTTGGTTCATGGGGGAGGGGGAATCCATAAAGAGCAATGCAATACCTTTTTATTAGGACCACCAAAATATCACAAAATGCTGAGTCCATTATAGCCATAGTTAGCCCACAGCCTCAGCACAAGGAATAATCTTGTCTCTGATGACAAAAATACTGATATCATCATCATGAAAAAGAACCTCACTCACTGTACAATAAATTAGGTTAAAAAAAAAGAACAAATCCTGCCCAAGTCTAACCATAGCTGAACCTGATTAGGAAAGGAGGGGGAAAGGAAAGACAGAGGTTAAAGGCTGGGGAGAAAAGAGGCCCTTTCAAGAACATGCAAGGAAAGAGAAGGTAGATATTGGAGGCCCTGTGAGGCAGAAGGAACATAAGAACATAAGAGACGCCAATGTTGGATCAGGCCAAAGGCCCATCCAGCCCAACACTGTGTCACACAGTGGCCAGAAATACCAGGTGCCATCAGGAGGTCCACCAGTGGGGCTAGGACATTAGAAGCCCTCCCCCAAGCACCAAGAAGACAGAGCATCCCTTGCCCCAGAGCCCCTATCTATACCTTGTAGCTAATAGCCACTGATGGACCTCTGCTCCATATGCTTATCTAATTCCCTTTTGAAGCCGTCCATGCTTGTAGCCGCCACCCCTTCCTGTGGCAGTGAATTCCATGTGTTAATCACTCTTTGGGTGAAGAAGGACTTCCTTTTATCCATTCTAACCCAACCGCTCAGCAATTTCATTGAGTGCCCACAAGTTCTTATATTGTGAGAAAGGGAGAAAAAGTGTTCCAACCCTTTTATCATTCGAGTTGCCCTTTTCTGCACTTTTTCCAAAGCTATAATATCCTTTTTAAGGTGTGGTGACCAGAACTGCACACAGTACTCCAAATGAGGTCGCACCATTGATTTATATAGGGGCATTATGATATTGGCTGATCTGTTTTCAATACCCTTCCTAATAATCCGCAGCATAGCATTGGCCTTCTTTATTGCTGTCACACACTGTCTCGACATTTTCAGTGAGTTATCTACTACAACTCCAAGATCAGTCTCTGTCAGTTCAGACCCCATCAATGTGTATTTATAGTTAGGATTTTTGGCTCCAATGTGCATCACCTTGCACTTGGCCACATTTGCCATGTTGACGCCCACTTGCCCATCCTTGACAGATCCCTTTGGAGTGCCTGACAATCCTCACTGGTTTTCACCAACCTGAACAACTTCGTATCATCCACAAATTTAGCTACTTCACTGCTTACTCCCAACTCCAAATCATTAATGAACAACTTAAAAAGCAGTAGACCAAGTACTGTTCCCTGCGGTACCCCACTGCTTACCGCCCTCCACTGAGAAAATTGCCCATTTATACTCACTCTCTGTTTTCTATTAATTAGCCAGTTTTTGATCCATAAAAGGACTTGTCCTTTTATCCCATGATTTTTGAGCTTACTTAGGAGCCTTTGATGAGGAACTTTATCAAAAGCTTTCTGGAAGTCAAGGTAAACAATATCTATTGGGTCCCCCTTGTCCACATGTTTGTTCACCCCCTCAAAGAACACTAACAGGTTAGTGAGACAAGATCTTCCCTTACAGAAAGGACAAGAGAAAATGGCCCGAAGGCTAACCTGGAGTTTCAACCATGAGGGAAGGATTGACCGAAAAAAGGGAAGAAAAGAGACAAAGAGATGCAAAAAGGAACTAAAGAATGATGCAATTTAAAAAACAAAAAGAAGGGGAAAGGGTGGCAAGATACGCCAAAATGTCAAACCAGCAGCAGAAGTAACAAAAGAAAGACTGATGGTGGGTATAAGGGAATGTGGAAAGAGGAGAATTAAAGCAGTCGAGTTAGGAAAGAATGAGGGAATAAACCGGTGTTTTCAGCAGAAGGATCCCCCCAAAATTATACATTTTAGTGATATTTAAAAGATGAAAACGGTAAGTGACAGTCCTTTACTCTAGACAACAATCCACCAATGGGCATCCATTGAAAGGAGGGAAGATCCACCTTTTAATGCAAATTATTTTTTAATTTATAATTTAGATTTATATACCAACCTTCTCTGAATTCACAGAGCCCAGGGCGGTTAACAACAGAACTGTACAGTTTAAAATCCAGAAGTTAAAATAGTTAAAATAACATCAGATGGTGTCAAAGTAAACATACAATGTGCATTAGTGTCTCACAATAAGTGGGAAAAGCAGGGTGAGGGAGGAGAAGGGAGTGCCAGGTAAGATGGTACCCACTGCTGTCCTCAACCAAAGGCCTGGCAGAACATCTCTGCCTTGCGCGCCCTGCTGCTCTGCATAAGGTCTTGCAGGTTGGCAGAGAGCTCCACCAGGTAGGAGCCAGGGCTGAAAAAGCCCTGGCTCTGGTCGAGAACAGCTGAACACCTTTAGGGCCAGCGATCACCAGTAAGCTGTTCTCGGCAGAGTGTAAATCTCTTCGGGGGACATGCCCGAGGAGGCGGTCCTGCAGATACATGGGTCCCAGACCGCTCTTGGTCTTAAAGGTCAACACCAAAACCTTGAACCTGGCCCAGTACTCCACTGGGATCCAGTGCAGCTGGTGCAGCACAGGTGCGGTCCATGGCGTCAATGTGCGGTCCATGGCGTTCCCATCAGGGCCTGCGCCACTGCATTCTGGACCAGTTAGAGTTTCTGGATCAGTCTCAAGGGCAGGCCAGTGTAAAGTGAGTTACAGTAATGCAGTCTGGAGCTGACCGTTGTGTGGATTACTGTGGGTGGGTCAGGGCAAGAGAGAAAGGGGGCCAGTTGCCTTGCCTGGTGCAGTTGGGAATATGAGGGCCAATATTTAAACCTTTCCATAAAAAATAAAAAGAAATACATGTATTTATTAATAATAACAAATTTTAAAACATATATAGAGGCCCATTTACAACCAATGTATATCACCAGGCTTTTTACTTATGAATGCTGTGGCAACACAATCAAAGAAGGAAATTTTTGGACCACAAGTTTATAATCACTGGGCTAGTGATTGCACTTTAAAGTTCTTATGTGCATATTTACCTTGTGCCTGGTGATTTTACTTTTGAACGATTTACTTTATGGTCCTCATTGAATCTATACTTTGTATATATTTCTGATTGTGTTTGTGTGAATATAATTATTAACCATCTTGCCACATATGTATGACCTCTGAGGAAGGCCTATTTGGCCGAAACGCGTAAGGTCAACTTTGTAAGCCCTTGATATTGTTATATTTTATGTACACTGGTTGTAAATGGGCCTCTATATATGTTTTAAAATTTGTTATTATTAATAAATACATGTATTTTTATTTTTTATGGAAAGGTTTTAATATTGGCCCTCCTTTTCACTAACCTTTGTTTGGTTTTGGAGTTTATTGTAAGATTCAGTGTTTTTCCCCCTTGGTTTCTGCTTGCAGTTGGGAATATGCCAGCTGGGCAATGTTCATGATGTGGGCCTCCACAGACGAGGAGGTATCCAAGACTGTGCCCAAACTCTTGACAGCTTGTGCCATTATTAGAGGTGTGCCATCAAAAGTGGAAAGTTGAGACCCCAATCCTGAACCCCACCCAGCCAGCTAACATTTTGATTGGATTCAGTTTCAGCCAGCTCTTCCTCAACCATCCCACCACAGCCTCCAACCCCTCGGCCGGATTTTGTGGGGTGGTGTCTGGGTGACATCCCAGCCCGAAATTCCATGCCAGCTGGGCAAGGGGGCACATATAGATGTTAAACGACATTAGGGAGAGGATTGCCCCCTGAGGAACCCCACATGTTGAGGGGAACCTAGTTGACACCCTCCCCCCTCTCTGTTCCCAACCTCGGAGAAATGAGGTAAGCCACTGTTAGGCTACCCCACGAGCTCCTATGTTGGTGAGGCGGTGGGTCAACAGGTCATGGCTGACCATGTCAAACGCTGCTGTAGGATCTAACAAAAACAGCAGCACCGACCCACCTTGATCCAGTTGCCTATGGAGATTGTCTGTGAGGGTGACCAACGCCATCTCCGCTCCATGGCCAGGGCAGAAACTGGACTGGAAAGGGTCAAGTGCTGATGTGTAATCCAGGAAACGCTGGAGCTGCTCGGCTACTGCTCTCTCAATTACCTTGCCCAGAAATGATAGATTTGAAACTGGGCAATAATTGGAGGGATCTAAAGGATCCAAAGATGGCTTTTTCAAGAGCAGTTTTACCACAGCCTCTTTCAGACACTCCGGATAGACCCCCATCCGAGGGCCTCATATTCCCTCTCGACTGGCTTTCACCAGCCACAAGGGATACGGGTCCAAGAGGCATGTGGTAGGCCTGGCAGTACCCATGATCCTGTCAACAAGAGCCAGCTGAAGTTGTCAAACTCCGAATCCAAAGGCGGCCAAAGGACCTCCAGCTCATGTACTGTATCAACATTGGCTGGAAGGTCATGGGGGAATGACAGGACTTTATCTTCAAAAAGCTTGCAAATGCTTCACAGCTAATAGTCAAATTACTAATATTTTGTATTCTCTCAGTAAGAGAGGTTAAGGATCAAATCACCCTAAATAATTGTGCTGGGCGAGAGCTAGCAGATGCGATGGAGGCTGAGTAAAATTCTCTTTTTGCAGCCTTCACTGCTATTTCATAGGATTTCATAAACGTCCTATAAGATGCTCTTGTAGCTTTGTTGCGAGCATTCTGCTCTAGTCATCTAAGCTCCCATTTCATCCACCTAAGTTCCATAGTATACTGGGGGGGGTGATTTTGAGCGGGGGCAAGGAGGACATTACCCAACTATAGGGTAAGTAACCTTTGTCATCTATATATCTAATAGCCAAGTCGCCCCCGTGTGTGTGTATACCTAAATCCGCGCATCGGGGGCACCTGGGGGGGAGGGAGATTTTTGTGCACACTTGGGCCAGTCCCCAGGTGTGCACAAAAATCGGAAACTCTGAAAAAAATATTGGGGGATACTTAAATCCCCCCAAAAGTAACAGAGCGTCCCCTGCGCATGCGCAGGGAACGCTCTGTGACCTGCCTTGCCGCCGCTTCGGAGCGGGGGTGGGGAGAGACTGGCAAAGCCCGAGGGGCTTGCAGCCACCGGGCCTCGGCTTGGAGCCACGGGGGGGGGGGGTGGGAAGACCCGTGGGGGCTAGAACTTGATCAACACACGTGCCCGGGGCACTGCAACCCGCATGCTGCCTTCCTCCGACCCGCCAAGCAGGCGTCGGGCTCTGCCATGGTCCCTCCTCACTCACCACCCACACACCGGCAGCACCCAAATCCCTTCCACTCTCTTCCTTCACACGCTCGCTTGCTCTGCACGTGGGATCACGCAATCAGTGCGCCCCCGTCTGAAGAGTTGCCAGCGCAGCCGACCCGCCTCAGCAAGGCCACACCGCGCATGCCCAGCGCCAACGAACCCGCCCGCAGAGCCCAGGAGTGCCTCGCGCCCGCCCGCCAACCCTTCCTACTATCTCACGCCATTCACTCCCTGCCACCACCACCCCCTCTCCTCATCCTCGGTCTCCAAAGACTGGGTTGCGGCGGCGGCGCTCTCCCTTCATGCGCCCTCCTCGGGTTACTCGCTCACCCCAATAAGCCTGCCCCATTCAGTCGCTCGCATGCTGGACCCTGACTTGGGTGGCTACTACTACCAAGGTGAGGAGTCCTCCTGCACCACTCTGGCCCCCGCTGTAGCGTGGCTCCGTCCCCCTGTCTCCCCCTCGGTCTCTCACTATCGTAGAATTTCTACCTTAGCCTGCAGTGCTGTGCCCACTTTACTTGGGAGCAAGGTCCATTCGGAGCGGGAGGGGGATCGAGCCGGGGGGTGGAGGAGACGGGGGGAACCGGTGGGATGTGGGGGGAGCTTACCTCCTCCTCCTGCTTCCTCCTCTGTCTGATTACTGATTACTCCCTCCCCCGCGAGTATCGCGGGTCCTGCCTCTTGTCTTGAATATTTCCATAAGGACGACCTTAAGGATTTTCTCCCATATGAACCTACCCATCCACTCTGGTCATCATTGGGCCCACCATCTGAGACTAGGTGGATGGGACCCCAGAAAAAGGGCCTTCTTGGTGGTGGCACCAAAGCTTTGGAACTCCATCCCGTCCTATCATTGTCCTCTGTCAGCAAGTGAAGACTTCATTGTTTTGTTTGGAATACCTCCAATAACTGTTATTGGCCCTTTTCCCTGGTTTCAATGCTCCCTCTAAGCTGTGGAGTCTTGTGAGCAAAAATTCTACTTTCTGAGCTATGAGCATTAAAGTTGTGAGCTGGTGATTTTGCTACCGCATAAATTAGTTTGCTCTGGAGCCATCCTTCCTGAGCTGAGACAAAAATGTGTGAGCCAGAGGCTAAGAAACTGTGAGCTAGCTTACACTAACTCAGCTTAGAGGGAACGCTGTATGTTTATGTTTCTTACTGAATTGTTTGATATAATTATTTTATGCTGTTTTATTGTTGAAATGTTTTGATCTTTGCAACCTCGGGGACCCTATTTGGGTGGAGAGGCAGCACAGAAATGTTTTTAATAGATAAATAAATACATTTCAGGATTGACCCCACAACAAGCACACCCTTCTCTCTGTGACTGGATATCTTACTGCTCTCTACAGGGCACCAGGATGGGATATACGAGGTCTCCCAAGATGCTGCTGCTGCCAAGCAAGTGCAAATCTCACCGTCTTCCTACTTCACTTACTTGCACCCTGACCCAAATAAAATACACACGCGTCAGTAAGTGTCCATCATCCCCCCCCCCGGCTTGCGGTGCAACTGCAGCACACGACATAACTTTGGGGAACCCAGAAACTTTGCTGTCAAGACAGTCATGGTCAATGCTGACGTTTCCTCTTGGTCTGCCTCGTGATGGCTTTGCCTTCTCCTGGAGAGAAAAAATTGTGGGAATGGACTGCAGTGCTCTTTCGGAAAGGCAGCCAATGGCAGGGTGACAGTTCCTCATGAAAGAGGATTCAGCACCACAGAAGACTGTTTGGCCCAGGGAGACAGGTGCCACTCCTCTCAACGTGACAGGAGGAAGGCCAGGGCCCATCTTAATTTCTCGCCTATGAAACTGCCCAGAGAGGAATAAGCCTTATTGTAAAAGGTGGGGGGGGAGGGGCCTCAGGAGAAAGGTGGCACCTGAGGAGGTTCCGCCTTCCACCTGGAGATATTTACAGTTGTCTTGAAAAGAAGATGGCCTGTGGAAGAGCTGCCACATTGTGGTGTGGGACCCTTCCCCATCCAGTTCTTAATGAAGCTCCATTGCTGGTTCCCAGAACTCTTAAACATATGATACCTATAAGTGCTACCCACACCAACAGTAATTCTGCAGGGACTTTTTCTTATAAGGACCTATTCTAGAGTCTTGGCCAAGGCTAAAAAGACATATTTTTAAAACCACACCAGCTTTGGGACTATTCTGTAAATCATTGTTTTCCCCCCAGAAATCTCTCCAGTTAGAAGTAGCATCATCATCATCATCTAAACTTAAAACTATTGTTATTGTTATTTCTGTTGAGACTGCTTCAGGTTGAATTGGAGCAGCCAGGGCTTTTTTTGTAGAAAAAGCCCAGCAGGAACTCATTAGCATAAGAGGCCACACCCAACAACAGAAACTCATTAGCATATTAGGCCACACCCCATGCCTTCCCTTGGCTTGCCTGGGTGCCCCACGGCTGCAGGGAGCCCGGGCAAGCCGGCTCTTGGAGGGGAGGGGAGGCAGTTTAAACTGCCTTCCCTTGGCTTGCCCAGGCGCCCCTGCGTTCCTGCCCAAAAATAGCCCTGGGAGTAACCATCCTATGAACATGAAAACATATGTTTCTTGCCCTAACCTGGGTAGCCTAGGCAAGCCTGATCTCATCAGATCTTGGGAGGTAAGCAGGGCTGACCCTGCCAAGTACTTGGATGGGAGACCTCCAAGGAATACCAGGGCCAGGACCCAGAGGCAGGCAAATATCAAGCCACCTCTCTGAAACATCCTAGCTCCACTAAGAGTCACCATGACTTCCAGGCATGCAAGTGCGCACGCACACAAACATAAAAAAACAAGCATCCAACTTTTGTTCCTTACTTGTTCAATTAGATTTTGTTATTATTTGTAGTTACTATATTTGTATCCTGGCTTTCTCCCTGTTGGAGGCCCAAAATGGCTTACAAAAATATGTCTGAAACAAATTTTCAAATTGTATAAAAGCATATTGAATTTTAAAAAGTGTCAGGTACTTCAATAACTCAGCATCAACAGCAGGTCCTTACATAGGTTCAGTTTTATTGATCAGAGCAAGGTGAAGTCATCTTAGAATCTTTGAGTCAGGAATGAGGCAAACAAAATGGCTATAGTAATTATAGTGGGTTCATACAACATCCCCTGACACCTAGGAGCCAATAAGCAATTAATGTGGAGTGCAGGGAACTGGTTAACGGTTCATAGGTGAGCGGGAGACAGCAGAGGTTTACCGCTGAAGTGATGAGCGCTCAAGGCCAACGGCTAGATAAGAGAGGCAGAAGCAAGAAACAGCTGCAGAGCATTACACATTCCAGAGTCAGGGAAAACACCATGGCGGGGCTACCCGACAAAAAGCAAAAAACAAAAAGTAAACAAAACATCCTGGGCAGATCAATCCAACTAGCCAAGGCCACGTGGCAAAAGTCAATGGCTAAGAGCCCTTAGGCTCTTGCCATTTCACTTGTGTTGAAAGGCTTCCTACCCCTCACCACACCCTGATGAGATGTAACTGCAGCAGGAGAAAGAAAAAACACTCAGTCCAATTGTTCAAGCTTGTAGCCATCTTCCCTCCATTCCTACTCCCGCTACAGTGCTGTGAAGCCTGTTCTCATCGTATCCTTTCAGATTTCTTCTCTGACTTTCTTTTTTTGAAATTATATTTTCCTGAATATTTGAGAAATTCCCTGAGTCTGTAGAAATCTTTACTTTGTTTGTGGGTGGCCTGTTTTTGTTGGTTACATCACTGGGACCCACCAGTTTATCTCTCTATATAATAATTCTGTTTTGGTCATGGACTCTCCTAACCATTCCACACACTCCCAAATCAGTTGGCTCCCTGATATGTCACTCAGAAGCTGTCCCTATCCACTGGCTGCATTGCCTGAGTCTCACCTCCAATATTCTAAACAGTTTGCTGTTCCTCTCCCCCCAATAGCCAGTCGGAACACAGAGGTCATTTGCATATGCGACCTGATTGGCCTTTGCCTCTAATATTCTAAACAGTTTGTTGGTGCTGTTGGGAGTCATTGAATGTGTCCTGAGGTAAAATGCATATCCCAATTTTCCCTTAAACAGTCACTGGAGTTGCCAAAATACATATCCCAAGCTTTCCTTAAATGGTCACTGGAGTTGCCAATCTCCATGTGGGCCCTGGAGATCTCCCAGAAATCACCGTGTTCTCCAGCTACAGCACATCATTTCCCCTAGAGAAAATTTCCCAGCTCTTAAAATGGCTGCTTTGGGCAGTGGACTCTATGGCATTATACCTCGCTGAAGTCCCTCCGGACCCCAAACCTGCCCTCCTTAGACTTTATCCCTCAAATCTACGGGTCTGGTTCTCCCCTTAGTATTGCCAGACTCCAGGAAGCACCTGGAGATCTCCAAGTTCAGTTGTCCTGGAGAAAATGGCTGCTTTGTGCAATGGACTCTATGGAATTATACCCTGCTGAGGTCCTTCCGGATCCCAAACCCTGCCCTCCCCAGGCTCTATCCCTCAAATCTACAGGCCTGGCCCTCCCCTTAGTATTGCCAGCCTCCAGGCAGCACCTGGAGATCTCCAAGATCAGTTCTCCTGGAGAAAATGGCTGCTTTGGGCAGTGGAATTATACCCTGCTGAGGTCCCTCCACACCCCAAACCCTTCCCTCCCCACATTCTACCCCTCAAATCTACAGGTATTTCCCAGTCCAGAGTTGGCAACCCTGTAACTGGATATGGAACTGCTTTCCAGACCCTTGGAACCCAGAAGACATAGGAGGAGGTGCCTTAGCTGCCTTAAGTGCCTTAGCTGCCACTGCATAACCACAAATCAACATAAGTCAGGGGTGGAGGGTGTCCTCCCATACTACCCACTTGGGGAAACAAAATGACTTGAGACAGCCCTGCCTTTTAGCTAAGCAGAAGGAAATAAACATGGCTTGCCTCCCTCTATTTTTCCCTTCCCTTTGCCACCCCACCAGCCACAGCTGGGACACTCACCTGGAGCTTCGTTCTAGAGCTCGTTGTATTTCTTCCCACAATGGGCCTTACACCTAGTTATTAGATATAGTGATTTTTCTCTCTGTCAGTGTTAATCCCCTAAGAACTAAGAATGGAATGTTCACAAATACATGCAGAATATCTCTAACAAATAGCTTTCTGCAGGGGTCATTTCGTAGAAAAAGAGCTAGGGGGACTCATTAGCATAACTCATTAGCATATGCCACACCCCCTGACATCACCGGAAGTGCGTCCTCCCCACAGCCGGCGGTGACCTCCAGCGGGCACCAGCAGGGAGCTCCAGGCCCCGCCCGCCCGCACCTCACCCGAGGGGCGGCCAGAAGCAGGGGGCGGGGCTTCATTGTGTGCCCCGCCCCCCGCACCTCACCCCGGGGGACCGCATTTCCCCCCCCTCCCCCCCCCCCCCACAGCAGCAGTGGCAGCAGCTGCTCTCCAGGAATCACAACGGATGGCCCAAATACAGAGATCAGTTCCTCTTACTTTTGCCAGCTCCATGTTGGGAAATTTCTGGAGATTCGAGGGTAGAGCCTTGGGAGGATGAGGTTTGAGTTGGGAAGTGATCTCAGCAGGGTATAATGCCATAAACTCTATCCTTCAAAGCAGTCATTTTATCCGGGGAACTGATCTCTGTCATCTGGAGATTGGTTGTAATTCCAGGAGATTTCCAGTTCTCACCTGGAGGTTGGCAACATTAGTTCCCCTGAAGGAAATGACTGTCTTGGAGGGTGAAGTCTATGGCATGATAGCTGTCTGAAGTCCCTCCCCACCTCAATCCCCACCATCCCCAGGCTCCACCCCACAAATATCCAGGGAATTTCCCAACATTGATCTGGCATCCCTAACTCCTTTTCAACCCAATAGCCAGCCTATCTCTGCCCCTCTGTCTTCAGCTTTCCATCTCCTTTCCCCCTGCAGTTTCTACTGAGGAAAACAATGGTCTGTCTCCCCAGTGGGGACTAGATCAGTTTACATTATTCTCCTCTCCTTTTGATTCACACAACAACCCTATGAGGTAGGTTAGGCTGAATGTATGTGACTGGTCCAAAATCACCCAGTGAGCTTCCACAGCCAGATGGGGATCTAAACCTGGGTCTCGCAAACCCTACTCTGAAGCTCTGACGATTATACTGCACTGACTTTCATAGGGTGGTTGCTGTTGAACAGGAGCAGAATAAGGAAAGGAAAAAACATCCGTGGGCCAACCCAATTAAGTATGAGAGCAAAGCTCTTCAGTCTAAATACAGAACAGAAACCTTTATTGGCATAACATAAGTAAACCAGGCAAGGAAACGTTTAAGGGGTACTACAAGGACAACATCAACCAATATTCCCGATATTCCAAAATACAAGACAATCCTAACATGATTTACAAGAATTACAGAGTAATACTCTTGATTTCCATATGTAGGTCAAAAATTCAGCAACAGATAGTGTTATTGCTGGGCTCTGGTCTGCTAAAAAAAATTTTAAATCCCTGTCCAGAAAATCTCTCTGCGAAGGGAGGAAAGGGCG